AAGAAAGTCATTCCATCATTGCCATTGTTTCCCTTATTTGTAAAAAAACTTCGGCGTCATCTGTGGGGGATGGTTGATGGGCATTGCAATTCTGCGTCGCATGAACTAGCCAAGCTGGTAAACTTATGTCATCGCAGCACAAACTCTTAAAGGAACCTTCAGGAATCAATTTCCTCGTGGTTCCACTACCAAATAAGCTCATCCAATAACACTACCACTATAAACGAATTTGTTGTACTCCTGATGATCCGGGTAGCGAAAGTTGCTCCGAGGAAGGGCCAAAGTTCTACTGAAAAACGTCCATTACTTCCTAGTATCATTCAGCGTTAACTACGATTGTGATAAGGTCAGCATGGACCACTGCTAGTCAACAACGACTTTTACAGGGCTCTATTTTTAAAAACATATTTTCACATTATAAAGGACAAGTAATAAATTCTATGGCGTTAAATGGTTGTGCTACCGAATAATGGACCGCAGGAGGGTCGAGAGTTCCGTTGGTTTGGTAGGCGTCATCTGTTATGGTTTTGAGTCAGCTTGTTGTAAGGGAATTCAAATAAAAGGAAATTGAAAGAAGGAATAGGCGGGACACGCATCGAAAGCGGAAACAGAGAGAAAATGGACTGACAGGGACAAGGAGGCAGATAGAAGGAAATTATGACCCTACAGTCAGAAACAAATACGGGTAAAAAGTCAAATACAGACAAAAAGAAAACTTAGCAGAAACAGTAACAAGTATACAGACAAAAAATAATAAGCAATTGCAAAAGGTGTGAAAAGTTAGAATTCGTTGGAGAGGATTGAAGGGGACCAACAACGGCAGAGGGAAGCAATACGAAGCGTTGGAGACGTTTCCCAAACGCTTCTACCGACTTTCATTTTACTTTGCCTCAAATCGTTACAGACGAACAATTTACAGGGGACCTACCACCGGAACAGGGAGTTTGGAGGTAAGGATAACAAGCAACCCAAACAAAATAGTCGAAAGATAGGGAGAGACAAACAAATACGTGTAGAGTATATGTAACTCCATAAGAGAAGATATTTTTACGAATTTGCCTTCGCGCTTTTAATAGCTACTGTAGCAAAATGCACTTCAAAACCAAACTTAGGAAAACCACAAGCAAAATTCGACAACAGCTTGATGGCCGAAGTAGCGGGGCTACAGGACCAAAAAAACCAAAACATAGTGAATTCCAGAGACTCAACGGGCAAAGATAACTTTGCCTGCACCCTCTCTAGTTATGCCACTCTAACCTTACGTTTAAGCAAATTCGAAACAGCTAGAGGGACAGTTCATTTTCCACTTCAGCATTTACTGATCTTAACAGCAGCACATTCCTTCTGACACCCAGCAAAAATCGTCATTTTTTAGCCAGGGAAATACGCCATAATCAAAGATTGGAACCGTGTCTTTTTCTTCAAAAAAAAAAACGAAATAAGTTTTTCCATGGTAATTTTATGTTCATCCCTCTCTCATTACTGAAAACCATCATCGCGGACGTTTCAATGAAGACACAGGAGACAACACCACTCGTCGATGGGACAGTTCCCCGTAGGTGACGCGAATTTTTTGAAAATTTCTTATAAAAATTACCAAGGTGTGGGCACACCATACTAGAGCATGGCTCGGGATTAAGGGGATTTGACCCCGTCAATAGGCTCATGCCATTCTATTCAACACCTCCCGAAACTCTAACCATTTTTGTCACAACCTGTGTAAATACTGACGAACAATACCGATGACTAGCAGCGGTGTGTATTCATAAACAAACAACTTTATAACAACGACGAAATAACATTTAGAAGCGCAATTTGGTGAAAAACCATTTGTTCTTTCCAGTTTTGTATCGCTCCTCAAACTTTGACTTAATTTCTGCCAGAGCGCATCTCTTCTTCTTTGGAATCCTCAGTGACTCCTAAATTAAGCTAATAAAAAATTGTAAACAAATGTGGGAAATCTGAAATCACCTTATTGATGTTAGCCTTATCGAATGCAACATCAACTGAATATCTTGTAGGAAGGAGATGGCTATATGACACGACTTTCACAAAAGGCTTCAATTTGTTACGCTTCTCCTGCTTCTTTTTCCCCATGCTTTTCGTGACCTGAAACACCACACTGAAATAGAAATCGATTTGAATTAATCAAGTGTATTACCTTCAGTGGGTACTTGTCGATTCCAGCAATGATGGCATGAGGATACGACCTATCAGCTCCTCCTTCATCCTGTGCTTTCACGACGAGTGCTTTCCTACCGGCATATTTACCGCGTAGGACAAGGACAACCTTGCCCGGCTTCATTATTTTCCCCATGCTGATCCTCTGAAGATTGTTAAATTCCAATAAAAACACGAGAATCGAATATCTGTGGGAAAGATAGTAATGCTTAATACATCACGTGAAACACGAACACAACTGTTTACATATAAATCTTTTATCTGTACAAATCAATATGTGGACACATATATCCTCCGCAGTTTTTCTTTCTTATTTTTGTTAAAATGACGTTTATCCCCTTTCTCCGCAGGTCCAGCACTTGAAGAAGCTGCGGGATTCCCCTTAGCACTTCGTGTATGCACAGCGCCCACCGTGTCATTGAAAAACTGGGAGTCAACTTTTTTGTCAACTATACCGTCACCCTCTAAAAGGCCCCGCTTTTCTAGTTGTTCGAGCTGAACTCGCCCCGATCTTGACTTCTCCTCCACAAATAGATGACTGTTGAATTCATTCTGATCTATTCCGGGTGGGGGAGCCACCCAACGCAAGCGCCCACAAACAAGATCCTTAATTACAAAGCGGGCTGCTCGGGAACAATCGGGGATTCCTGATGCAGACATGAACCCTCGCATGAATGCTATTGAAGTTAGGAGGTTCAATGCAGATGGCTCCGAATTCTCAGGTAACATGACTGAATACGTTTGCTCAAAGAATGATACAGGTATGCGCGACAACAACAAAGCAATAGGTCCAAAATGATCACGCATTTGATCCACCGGGAGGATACCTGAAAATAAAGTCGTTGAACCACAAACTCCATTTAGCAATGCGTGTTAAATAGAAAACATCAGATAAAATACAATTACGACAACTACAACTCACCGTTAAGAAACATTTCATTTCGCCCGAACGCGAATGACGGCATTACAAGACCGGGACAATCACATAAAACGAGCTGCAACACTTTTCATCACCATTGATTATATAGATACCTCCTCCCTATCTTGTGAGCGACGTACGATGTACTTTCTATATAAGCGTTTTGTCCTGAGGGAATAGGGATTCATGGACCAGGCATAGTGAAACTAATGATAAGTTATTGTGTTCAAATTGGTGTTGTTAAGCCAGATTTTCGACGCCGCTACCTTTGAATAGTAATGATTCCCATTCCTTTTCCATCGTTCCAAAATGGACAAACTGGATAAGAGTGACTGAGATTATAAGATGAAACAGTTCCACCCTCTGCGTTGGTACACTGTCTCCCAACAGTCTACTCCACTTCTTAGACAATCTCGAGAGAACGAGAATTTTCATATGAAACCTTACTGTGAAAATACATTCTACAATTCCAGTGCCAAAATATCAGGCTGCAGTCCTTTATGAACTGAGTGGTTGAAAAACCAGAAAGTCAGAAGTCAACAATTGTGACTATTCTATGTCTTTACAAAAGCTTCACAGTTCAACTGATAGCTCACCTGTTCGTCAATATGAACAGTTTGGAAGTGGCGTGTCTTTCCGGGAGTTGCCGACACCGAAACCTTCTTGCTACCAGCAATTCTGTTTATTGTTGAGCTCTTGCCGACATTTGGATAGCCGACCATTCCAACAACTACAGGTTTAGAACCCGGAGCGTCAATAACATGCCCCATCTCTTTCAAGTATTGCACGAGCTGATCACGTGTGCGCAAAAACAAAAGTCCGCTCGAAGAAGCCGTAGATGGCTCCGAGTTGCATTCTTCCTCGGGATCAGATACTTCCAGAGCAGTCCTGAACAAACCACATAAGTAATTGAGGGAAAACAGAAAAGCAAAGAATTACAAAGCCTACCAAAATGCAGCATTAATTTGATTTTCCGCAAAGTACTTAGCCCATCCAGCTATTTGTTCTTCCTCCAAGAGATCCGCCTTGTTAAGTAAGAGAAGCACTTTCTTTGCAGGATCAACTTCCTTCACGTAAGCATCTAGATCTTTGCTCCAGAACAAAAGCGGATTCCGAGCGTCAACAATCTGAAGAAACGTGTGACAGTTTACTAATCTAGAATCAAACGCATGTGTCAGAAAAGGTGAATTGGGCGAATTCGTATGCCACGCATTTTAGTGAGCTGGACAATGCAGGACTGATTCAGAACATTAATATGCGAGTGTTCATGGCACAAAGTAAACGCAGTAAACCCAACACGGAGAACCATAGCGTTAGATCCTGCTTATCCGTTTCACTCAAACATCATACTCTGAGCAGTAAAGCTGAGTTGGACAGAAGAAGGGTCATAGGAGGGTTTTTACTTTATGTCAAAAGGTACTTTTTATTATTACACAATACGGTTATACGTAGTAGTGAATAGTTAGGTAACATCGCACTTCAACCGATCGCATATGATTAACCCCCTGATGTTTTGATTGCTGGGCATTTAATGTCCAATCAAAACGTGCAACTACAAGAATCAGTACCGAAAGGATACCACCTAGCACGATTCAGAAGTGCAGTGCAGTGCAAGTGAGTTTACGCGCTAATCAGAGAGCTTCATTAGGTGGTCCGAAACATTTTGTCCCATTATTAAACTTTAGTGTGAAATTATATGATATCACATGGACTATATGAGCAGGAAGAGAAAATGTTGCTACAAGTTTCACCACTTCCACACATGCGGCATAAGAGTTCATGCACTCTATTAAACCCCTATCCTACAAACAAGGCTTCCCATTATTTTGCGGTGGGCCGTTTAGTACAAGACTACTCAAAAAACCTTTGCCGTAAAACGATAACCAGATCTGACGCATCTGAAGTCATGGAGCAATTGCTAGAATTAATGCAAGTGTGAACACTGAGGAAAAGAAACAAGAAAAGGAGATCGTCGCAAATCGGACGCTGTTAAATTTATAAGGATAGACTACTTGAGAACATCTGCAAAGCGGAAGGTTGTAATATCGAAAACCAGGCAATAATCTGATGAGAAGCATTATCTGGCCACTATAATTTTCCTATTATCTGGAATGCTACCCCAGCAATGGAAGTCAAATACCAAAGTTAAAGTATTAAGCATAGCTATTTTCAACAAAGAATTGATCTGTGAGCTTCCCTTAACAACGAAGACGTAAACTCTGTACTACTCAGTCAGCCAACCTCAATAATTGTTGCAACATTTCAGAGCGCTCATAACGAGATTAAAAGAAAAGAGAACAAGAAAGTTGAAAATGTAAGCTGATAAACTGCTCAACCTATTAGACCAGAACAAGAGTAGCAAAAACAAAAAAGCGATGGTGACTATTGAGAATGGAAGCTTTCGATACTTGAGAGAATGAATGAAATTTGAAATTTCCACTTATTTCAAAACAAGAAGGCAATGGGGAAGAAAACTGCCATACCTGTACAACAACATCACTTCGTTCCACAACTCGCCATAGCTCTCTCCACATTTCAGGATTTCTTTCGAACGGAGTGAGCGTTAAACCATCCTTCTAGAATAAAAAAATCTAGTTCGTGCGGCCTAAAAGGAACTTGTGAAGGTGCGTGACCTGCCCGTGCTACACAAACCTCTTGCAATTCGGCCAAATCCGACCTCCATTTCAGAAAGCTTTCATTTTCTAACTGCGTTAATTCTTCAGCAGTGTTGTACAGAGTTCGAGGCGGTCTTCGAGGGATTTTCAGCCTATGCTCGAGTTGTCGTTGAAGCTCTAGATTGGTTTCATAGTCAACACGCGAA